TTAGCATTATAGTCACGTCGTATGTAATTGCCATTCGTGACTTAAGGTCATGACATGATCACTATTGCCAATAACTGATACAACAATAAGTGTTATGCCATTATGAACAATTTAGTTCTTATTTTTCTTTATATAATGATTCACGCCACAAGAAAACTAATATCACTAAGGCAAAGAAGAGACTGTAAGACATAACTTGTAATACTTCGTACTTAACTAACACGGAAACCATATACTGATACGCAAAAAACTAAAACGCAAGCGACACTTGAAATTATTGAAAAGACAAGATTACAAAGAAACTGGTAATCCAAACTCGATTTGAATTCATATATACTTTATTTCATGTTGCTAGTACACACACACACACACAGTATTAAGGTTTTGGGGCAAACAGAAAACAAACATAGTGCATAAAAAGCATATTTCTTCCAATCTATGTCGTGTTTTCCATAACAATGTTAAAGAAAACACAGGCTTTCTACCGTTTTTTTTATACAATTCAAATGTAGATTATATAAGCCAATGACACATATAATGTCTTTAAAGATTTCTCTCCTATATTTATGTTCTTTGATAATTCTTTGCTGTGAAAAGGAAACATTAATGTCAGACGATGTGTACCAAATACTAGTCTCATGACATTCTGGATTATTTTACTGAAAAGCTGCTGGAAGATTTTATTATTATGTTTTAAGTATAAGACAAAGAAAATAATTGAGTATACCATACCTCTTTGGGCTGCCTCATCAATACCTTGCATGTCTTAGTTACTTATCTCAACAAACTGCACTATCTTAAACCAAATTTTATGAAAACTCTGATGTCACTGGTGACAAATATGTTATATCTTTCAGTCGGTTCAAGAAACTGAATATTTACTAGCACAATAAACCTAAAACTAAGATATTTAACTAATGAAATGGTGAAAGTTCTCTGTGTAGGTTATTAAATGCTATTTTAGGGCACTGACCTTATGAACAGTCTTGGATTTTCTTCATAAATACAACCTTAAGAATATGTTCTGCTCCACTCATTAAAAGCTAGAAGAATTATTTTTATGGTTTCTTGAACAAATTAAAACTCTTGCAATCTTTTAGTGAAAAATTAAACAATGATGGTGAAAGTTACTAAAAGTATAAGGCATTGGTAACATTTTGTCAATAGTTGAAATTTTCTATAATATTTAATGATGTTTACAGTAATATGATCATTTGGTAATATCAAGGTGTCTTTCAGCCTAAAACACTTCATCAGCTATATAATGGGATTTTTTTAACAAGATTAAAAATACCTTCATACCATCATATGGGTTATCAAGGACTTAGATTGTTTTTCATTATATACCTAAAACAGGAAAAAGGCCTATCTTTTGATTGATATGATTGTTGTGAACAAGAGAAAATAAGTTATTCTTACTCACATTAAGTTTAATTAGATCATGTTTTTAAAAGTATCCCATTTCAACCTCATAACTATAATTTAATTTAGTTTTGAAAAAAATACAAATAAAAACAGGTCTCTTTGAATAACATTATTTTTTAAAATATATTTAGTTATATAATAAATATTAAAAACATGGTGATACTAAAAACAATGTTTAATTATGGATGTTTCAGAATTGCTTCAAATTCTATCGTCGGCATTAATTGCAAAACATCCATAATTAAAGATTTTTTTGGTATTACCATATCTTTTTTATTTTAGTTACATTTATGGAAACCAGATTAATAAATGAAACATTTTTACACATCGATGAAAGAAGTTTTCAATCTATATATGTGCAAAATACACTTCACTGAATCAAATGATTTGTGTACTGAGGCTTATATCTGTTACAACCTGGTATATAAATATAATATACTAAAACTGTAAAAACATGCACAAAAATCTTAATATGCATCAGTAAGATAATTTCTTTTACCTCTCATACTTTTTACTGTAAGAACCTTTTCTGTAATCAACCATAATATATACTTGTCACAACCACAAGGTTCAAGAAATGATTTAATGGATTTTTTCTAAAACTGCTTTTGTTCTTGGTCTTTATAAAAATATATTACTATAGTAAGATGTAAAATAATAGCTAATTGATGAGAGTTAAGATTTTCACTAAATAGTGGGTATAGTAAAAAAGTACAATATGTAAAATAAAAAACGATCATAAATGATGATAATAATTAAGGAAAAACACCTGTAACCTCAAGCTCATCATAATTTACTAAAGTAATTCATGTACCTTATATAAGTTTAGAAACAATTTTTAAACCACCAAGGCTTTTCCTTTTCAGTTCAATTCTGAAGGAAGCTAGTTAAAATGTATGTATAAGAACATTGTTGACACTAAGCACAAAAGTAAAAAATGACAAGATATGCAGCATCATAAAATCACAAACTTTTCATTTCCAAGGCATAACAAGAAGCCATAGACAACAAAGAACCATTTGGCCCTTCAAGGCTATCCTGGCATATCCAACTTGAAAAAGTTAAACATTTAAACCCATCCTACATTTTTAATAAGTCACTGTTTCCTCTCTTAAACTGGAGCCTAGCCTGTTTTTTTTTTTAAATCTTAAGCTTGTGTCCTCTCATCCTATTGTCTTCAGAATACAGCACAAAGAAATCATAGGTCTCTATCCTATCAGTCTCCCAGATAATCTTGTAATGTCAATAACAGCACATATTACAGGCCCTTTTCTCAATAAAAAATATATTGAGATATCTTAATCTGTTTCTATAAGATAATCTTTCCAATTCTGGAATCATCCTAATAGCCATCCTCTGAACCCTTTCCAATAAGTTAATATCCTTTCTTAAATAAAGAGACCAAAACCATGCACAGTATTTCACATAAGGTCTAACTACTGATGAGTGTAAAGAAAATTACATATTTTCACTTGTATTAAATGCATCTATAAATACACCATACACATGGAGATATCCTGTCTCCCACATACAACCCTGAACTACAAACTATATATTCAATTTCATTAAAAAAATCTCACTTCAAACCATAGATATATATATATAAACAAATTAATTCTAGTCTTTTTTGGTCCATACTTTACCAAATCTATATTTGATTTATTTTAGTGCATCATTTTAATGAGTTGGTCATCATAAATGAAACAAAATTACATCTAAACAGTCATAATTATGTTAAAATTGACATTATGAGAGATTGACACATGATACCAGAAAGCAGTATTCCAACAATACAAATAAATACAACACAAGATACGAGTATATTTTACATATTTGTTTTACTTGTTACATGGAAAAGGAATTTAGATGATCCACTAGTAATGTCTGAATGGACAAGTTGAAGGAGTAGAGATTTAATGTAAAGCCTGTCTATAAACTTAATAATTTTTAGCAATATTTTTTGAAAAAATACATTATATAATTTGTGTTTTTCTGATAATTTGAACAAATAAGATTCAAAACATTTTTGTGGCTACTAATTTATGATCTTGAAGGACCAAGAGGATCTTTGGTTTCTTTGATGCTAAAGTTTTTCGATGTACAGATCCACAAAACTAAAAACACAGTAAAAATTTGCATGGTTGGACATTTTTAACACCTCATGAGAGTACTAATCTCTCTAACAGCATAAATTCATTTGAGTCATAGCTCAACCATAAAATTGATTTATTTCAATCATTAACTGTCATTGTTAAATTACAGAATATAGAAAATATTTTTGTCTATGCCTTTTCCAAATAAAATTATAATTAGAAAAAACAAGCTATAGAAAATTTGACAATTACTATGCTATCATAAGAACACAACAAATGAAAATTAGTGTTTTAGAATAGAATTTGTTTCAGTTAGGTTTTAATTATAATTAGAAAGTCCTAGATGTGACAAAGTTATTTATAAAAAAAAAAATTATACTGGCACCATTAATGTTATACATAGATAAAAAAAGTATTTCCAACAGAGAAATAAACTTACAAGTTTATGTGACACTTTATATTTTCATTCCAAAAGTTATACACAGTCTCCATCTTAATTTACAAAGATTTGAACAAAACAGCTTAATAAATAAAAACTTCCAAAAAATATTAAATGAGTCAAATCTAAAACAAACAAAATTACAGAGTTGCACAATGATTATCAAATAAAAAGAATAAATTCGTTTTTCAGTTTTTCCCTTGTTTTGTCTTTACACATTTTTCTCTTTTTTTTCATTTATTAAAAAAGAATCACTGATAGGCAAGATTTTCCAAAATAACTTAATAGTTATAGTTTATATTCTATAAACATGCTACTAACCTTACAATTAGTTTGTAAAATTAGATAAAAATTAGACATTTTTCATAAAAATTGAAGTACAAAACTTAGGCTGAAAATGAAATCTGGTCTCTTAGTCTTAAAGCTAGCGGTTAACCATTCAATGCAATCTATAACTAGTATCAGTATAACTCTTAGGTTCTTGTATCATTTTATTTTAATTCTCGTATGTATTGATAAACACTGAACATCTATTCAAAATGTAATCATATAGCTAGCTGTCTTTTGTTTTTACAAAACTTTGGCATGAGCTTAGTAATTCAATGTTTTGGTGTGAAACGGTTCATACTAATCACAGTTCTGTGCAAACTGTGAAAAACATGCTCCAACCGCGAAATCACGTTAACCTAATTTTTATATTAGACTACAAATGACAATAATTTGAATCGATAAATTATTTTAATTGCCAACAGTAAGTGAGCCATAGATATGTGCTAATATTTGTGCCTGAAAAGTTTTTAAACTGTTCTCACATTTCCCATTTAGAAACTGTATGAAATAATAATGACACGATAAAGGTTCATTTATTGATTTAAACAGGTACGGTGTCTAATCTTTAGCCAGTTTTAATTTTAGTGTTTAAAAGTAGACTCTGGCAAAAACTACCTGTCACTTTATTGAAAGCACGGAACTTCTGCACTGATGTAGTATTTGTCTAACGTTAGAAATTATGATAAAGTTAAAAGTTTAGCCAAAATTCTTACCATGTAAAAGGCCTATTGTTGAAAATAATAAACATATCCATCTCCTTTTCCACATTTTGAAATATTTTATCAATTAAAACTGCAACTGTAAACAGGAAAAATACAATCCAGGAATATGATAGCCGTCCCCTCCACAATCAACGTCACATAAGCTATCTTCCGTACCAACTGAACAGTTATCGCTTGGCGATATGAGCCCAAATAATCCCGCGTTTACTGAGAGGGGCAAATTACCATTTTGTATCAGAGCGCGTATAAATGAGTCTGTTTTCGTGCAATAATAACTAAACGATATAGATATACATGTGTGTATATGTATATATAACATATTTATAAATATCATTTTAACGTAACTAACATAACTTCATATCTTGGAAAACCTAAAGCTTTCATTTTCTCTTAAATTCTAAAAGAAATAACATAACTTGAAGTTGTGTAGGCGGATGAATACTGTGGTAGACTTTTTCTCATTTAGACGTTTGTATTGTTTTTGCGAGGGATTTAGAACGTCACCTGCTGAGCGCTTAGCTTTAATAGGTATAATTTTCTTGAAATTTTAAGAATCGATTCCATCAATATAAAACGCTTGTTAGTACAGAGTATATTAAATTGTTGATTTATTATTGGGTCAGCCCGTTGGATCAGGTGCTGTAAATTTGTAGTTTATGTTTTCAACGAAGTAACGGAGGCACTAAAAGTACCGAACTACGATAAAAGTAATCATAGGTGGCACATATGTCCTTTTCCTGTGCTTTCACAGGAGCCCATACATCTACTAAGCAGATGAAATAATTGGCAACAGGCTTGATGACAGGCTTTGATTGCTGTCAGGTTTGCTAATGTAAACAAGCAAGTCCATACTTCACTAAGTGGGCTGACGTATATTTATTCACTTGCTTATACTCTGGCTCAAATATATGTCAACAAACTCACTGAACAATGGACATCTCATTTCAAAGCCCGAGAAGTGATACATAATAATCATGAAGCAGACTTCAACAGTCGACAGCTTACCATATTGTATATGGTTATTATCCCCAGTCTAATGGTTTAAGTGAGTGGCTTGTCGAAGCTGTAAAACATATGCTTTCTGATATTTTGAACTCAGATTAAACTAACTGCGATGATCAACACAACGGTAGAACAGCTAATATGATATTTTCCAAGCGTTTTAATTCAGATGTAAAGTTACGCTTCTAGTAAATCTAGGTCTGTAGTAAGTTAATTTGTCAAACTATGAGATTCAGTATTCACGTAGCACACGAAAGAACATCAAACGCATGTTTATAAACTGAATTTATACATTACTAATGGACCTCTACAACACTGACATAACTCGAAACCAGAGAGTAAATGAATTAAAGCTGCCGATGAAGATGTTGATATGATCTGGCAGAAAGAGAAGAAGAATAAGATATTGAACTATCCCTGACCGTTCACAATGAGTCAAAGGAAGAGGACATACCACCCAAATATATATTGCATTATTCTGTACTGGTGTCTTCAATCCCACTCATTATGGCTAGGAGTAAGATATAACTCTTAGAAGTTAGGATGGTTGTCTGATCTGTAGTCCATGTCGTCATGAAATCAAGAGCTGAAAGGCTATTGTATTTGTTTGTTTGTTTGTAATTAAGCACAAAGCTACACAATGGGCTATCTGTGCTCTGCCCACCACGGATATCGAAACCCGGATTCTAGCGTTGTAAGTCCGCAGACATACAGCTGTGCCACTGGGGGGGGGCAGCTATTGTAATCCTAATTTTCTGAGCTACTATATATATGTGTGT